CAGCAGAGGATAGGACCTGATGCAACGGGTTTAAATTACATGCAGAAAGGTATCGGCTGGATACTAGGAAAAACTTTTTCACAGTCAGAGTAGTTCAAAGGTGTAATCAGCTGCCTAGAGAGGTGGTTAGCTCCCCTTCATTGACCGCTTTCGAGTAAAGGCTGGACGAATATTTGTCAGAGATGCTTTAGGCTGGTCCTGCATTGGGCAGGGGGTTGGACTAGATGATCTGTATGGCCCCTTCCAGCTCTATGATTCTATGACTTAAAGCTGGGATTCACTCCATGCAGCTGGAAGGGGCGCAGTCCTTTGTACCACCCCAGAGCTCTGCCACTTTGTTCCCACCTCAGATTCTTGTAGGTGTGAACCAGGCCTAAGTGCTTGGGCATCCTATAATGGAAATGCAATACCAGTTTAATACAAATCATTGACATTCAGTAAGCTTTGGATGAGCAGAAGATTGAAAGAATGCTCCCTGGGTAACTTCCTGAAGTCATTATTGGGCATCGTAGTCTGTAGTCCACATCGTGAGAAATGTAAAGGGTGCAAGAGGTATCTTTTTCTTGGGTCTCCTTGATACCCCAGAGAGGATGCCAGCTCTCGAGGCTCCACTGCTTTGTGATGTGGTCTGCAAGGGCAGGATGAAATATCTCAGCTTGCCTGACTAAGAGGAACGGAAGCACTGCAGCACTGTGTGCACTCACATGAGAACCTCTTCTTAGAGTGTACACCATAACTTGGCGTGAATTGGCTCAAAGCCATTGGCAAACATGGAGAGGTTTTAAAAACAGGCTCTTTGAAACCAATTGCACATTGTTTGGTGGCTTCCCCCTCAAAACTAAAATAATTGCTAAAAATGTAACTTTCTATAAAATAGAATTCGTTTTACTCCTTTTTCACCTTTGTAGACTATAGGAACACCAAAAGACTTTTTAAAAAATGGCAATTAAATTGCTAATTTGGGATGCCAGCCTCAGGTGGGACCTGGAGATCCCCTGGAATTACAATTCCTCTCCAGACTACAGATATCCATTCCCCTTGAGAAAGGGGAGGGTGGAATCTATGGCATTGTACCCAACTAAGGTTCTTGTCCTCCCCAGGCTCCATCCTCAAATCTCCAGAAGTTTTCAGACTTGGATCTGGCAACTCTACTGTTGACCAGTGGCTGGGGGTACCTGGCAACCCTAGCACAATGACAAAATGATCTTTTGCCATGATCTACTAGCTCTTCTGAATTCTCAGCTTTCATTTAAACCCCCCCCCACTCTATAGCCCTTTGTTGTTGTTTTTGTTGTTTTTTTAATATTGTATTTATTAAGTTTATAGTATACAGCCATAAATATTTTACATCTTTACATTCATTTTTTGGAGGTCTTGTACATAGTAAGTTTTCCCCACCATTTGTACATTCTTAACCATTTATTTTTGAAATATTACATCTTCTTTTCCACGTAGTGTCATTGTTAATTTGTCTAGTTTGTTGTTGAAGAGCTATAAAGGTGCACCTCTTATATCTGCACAAAATGAAAAGAGCTAGAAGTTGTGTGTTATAAGATTCTAACCTTACAGTGACATGTCAATTTCCATATTTTTTTTAAAAAAGCTGGAAAAGCCCTCCAGTGGTGATGGGGTAGGATGGTAGCCATGGAGGGCCAAGGCAAGGAATGTGCCAGGAAAACTGAGTTGCAGTCAGATACTGGAGTGCCACTGCGTTTGCATTTGTGTCCAAAAAACAAACTGGGATCACAGTGTAAAAACCTAATAACAAGCAATCACTGTGATTTGTGCCTACTATATTTTATAGTTAATAAGAATACAAAAGGTCCTTACATATTACATAGATAACAGAAGACTATCACAACTAATAATGGGATCCTGTATCACAAAATTTAGAAAAGGTAAGAGGTAAATCTAAATAACACATCATATGCTCTTTTATAATAGTAAGAGTCCATTCAGCTACGTGGTGTCCCTTGTTAATTTTAGGGAGATAATTTCTGAGGGAGATCTACTAAGAATAACTTCTGAGGAAGATCAACTACCAAACAGGCTTACATCTAGATGCTCATCAACTTACTACAACTTATTACAGAAGCTGTTCTACAATATCACAAGGATGGGACTTTTCTAAACTTTGTGATACAGGGTCACATTATTAGTTGTGATATTTTTCTGTTATCTGTGTAATATGAAAGGACCATTTGTATTCATATTAACTCTAAAATATAGCTATTCACAATGGAGCTGCGGTGGCTCAAGTGGTTAAGACGTTGAACTGCAGGCTGTGGAAGGTCAGTAGTTCAGTAGTTCAGCAGTTCGAGACCCGGGTGCCGCAAGACGGAGTGAGCTCCTGTCTCTAGTTCCAGCTCCTGCCAACCTAGCAGTTCGAAAGCAAGAAATTGCAAGTAGATAAACAGGTACCACTTCGGTGGGAAGGTAACAGCATTCCGTGCACCTTGGTGTTTAGTCATGCTGGCCACATGACCACGGAAACGTCTTCGGACAGCGCTGGCTCTTCGGCTTTGAAACGGAGATGAGCACCGCAACCCTAGAGTCGGATTCGACTGGCTTTCGAGCAAGGGAACCTTTACCTTTACCTTATAGCTGTCATAAATCATGAATCACAAGTGATTGCTTGTTATTAGGTTTGTATTTGCAGCAGCAGTGAGACTACATGGAAAACCATCACTGTGTGGAAGCAATAGGACTTCTTTTTCTTTCTTTGGTAGAACACCCACCCAGATGAATTTCTACAAGTCTTGTGACAGAGGCAGGTATTTAGGAGCATCTCTTCCATGTGTTGTAAAACCCACAAAAGACTGAAGAAAATAATTAAAAGGAGTGAGGGTGGAGAGGGCGGAGTACCAAGTGAGTGAAGTTTCTTTTAAAAAGAAAAAGAAACACCCTCTAATGTCTTGCATCTGACATTCATATGGTTAGAGAGGGGCGGATCACATACTTGATATTTTCTCAGTGACTATTTCCAACTGGAAACCTTCCCGTGACTTTTTCCGCAGACAGCAGGATAACCCAGACTGAATGCATAGGGGGGGGGGGGGGGGTGAGTGCCGTTTGTGAAGCTAAATTAATTTCTCCAGTTTCCCAAGTGTATGTTACTGTGCCAGGGCAATGGGTTTAAAATACTTGGAATGAGGGAGGCAGTCCCTGAAGGGCTGTAAGGCTCCTGGGTTTGAGTGATGAGCCTTTCTGCTCATATTCTAAAAAGTGGGGGGGGGGAGGCCTATCAGAATAAGGAAACTGTTGGCAGGCTATGACATAAAGGCTTTGACACAAAACATTATGCCACACACAAAGTCATAGGAACATGTCCATCTTTTTCACAGAAGCTTCTCTCTGGGAAAGAGGGGCTGAATCATAGTAAAACTATAACCTGTGGTCTCTATATACATTTTTAATCTAAAGGAGTTTAAATTGTGGGGTAGGTTGGGCAACTCTTGGATCTGCTCCCTGGAGATTGATTACTTCTCCCTTTGATCTGCTGGCCATTCAGGAGCTATCAGAGTTCTGTCATGTCCACTATTTCTTTTCTTATAGATGCTACTTCTCTGGAAAAGCCCCAAGGTCCTGTTACAGATTCCAATGACATATTTTCAATCATACCTGATACATAAAGCCATATCATTTTATAAAAATGCTCTGGAGTAACCAATTTGGACCAATACAGCTAGTACCATTAAAAATCTGGACCTAAGCAGGGTCCATAACTTTAGGTTTCTTAGGCATATCATATAAAGTTCAGGTATCCTGTAGGTGGCACTCTGAAGTCTGGTAGATGCAGGCAGTATGTAAGGACACAGACTATTGCAGTGTCCCCCTCAATATGTCACAGGTGGCAGTTACCTTTTTGGTCCTACTAAATAAGAACCATTATTGAAGAAAATATGCAAGGTGGCATCTTTTATTGTGTCTTTCTATAAGAGATTGTGCAAAGGTATTTTCACATATGTCAGATGACAGATAAAGGGTTGAGTGCACTTCAGAAACTGGCACATCCAGATGCATTTTCAAAACATATTGATTCAATATAGGATGTTACTTTACCTAACTGGATTGCTAATATTGATATATTCATTTTAGAATTAGCCAGATCCTACCATTTTAAAATATAAACATGGACTTGCAGTATGAATTATATAAATTATGTGATTTAAATTGTCTTTGAAAGCAAACAAAATCTGAATGGCTAAATATAAGCATTTGACCTCTCAAGTATATTACTTCTAAACATATCATCAGGCTACAAACCCTCAAAATACTAATTCAAAAACTACTTGTTTAGATTGGTAATTTCTTTTGCATTGCTTTGAAATCCTTTTCATACCCACAAAAAATAAAATACTACCAAATAGGGTAATATGAAACCATAGAAAGGAAAGAGTTAATGAGTTAAGACTCGGGATGCAAATCCCTTAAATTTCTTCTTGAAACCAGCAGGGGGTGCTGCTACTGGTTTGTGATTGTCAGATTCCTGCTATGCATGACCTTGGAAAAAGCCTGACAACAGGGCCTGGCTTTGATTATGAGAATCCGCCTTTTTCCTCTATGAGGATAACCCCCCAGCATGATAAACATTTTAAAATGCTAAGAGGAGGGAATAAGTTTTGAAAGCAAACATCTTTCTCCCGAAAGAAGTTTATAATTCAAATTTACACCAAGTTCATACTAACTGGAGCAATCCAGGTTTCTACTGAGACCTCGGAGTTCTCTTTGTAATCCATTAGTCACTTCCCTGGAAGATTTGGTCTTTATGGGCAGCTGGGTAAAATAGGCCCAGATGTGACTGTAATGTTAGATGCTTTCACATGTACCTGCAAATTATTGTTTTAAAATCCCTAGAAAGCAGAGGGCAGAAATTGAACAAGGAAGTGGGCTTTGAAGAAGAATGGAATACCGGTCTATTTCGAGAATGGAGACAAAATCTCATGATGTGTTTCATGAAGCCTCGGATTCATTACTGCTTGGCTGTTTTTTCTCTTCAGGGCCGTGATTATGCCTATTGCTTCTGAGTTCGAGCCAGACTTTGTCTTAGTATCAGCCGGCTTTGATGCTGTGGAAGGCCACGACCCTCCTCTAGGGGGATACAAAGTGACAGCAAAATGTATGTATCGCTTTAAAAATCCCCCCCTCCCCGATTGTTCTGGGCAGCCCTTGAGTATGCTGGATTTCTTCATTCTGCTGTAATCAGTGTGGTACAAAGTCACCATGCAAGTGCACAGATGGAAGAGTTTACTATGAATGGGGAACAACATGTAGCATTGAAGGTAGAACAAGAAGATAACAAATATCTTTTTGCAGCCTCGCAAAGGTTTTGCTTTGGTACATTTTCATCCCCCCCTGCCTCCAAGGAGCTCGGAACACTGCTCTTTTCTCTTCCATTTAATCCTCACAACAACCCTGTGAGGCAAGTTAGACTGCGCATTTCTGATTGGCCCCAGGTCACACTAAATAATGCTCTTTCAATCCACTTTCAGTGCACTTTGCTAATGGATTTTGCTGGATGAGACGTCAAAAGGCACTTGCAAACGGTCGCTGAAGTGGATTGAAACGGCTTTATTGAGCACGTGTGAAAGTGCCCCTGCAGAAAGGTTTCATGGCAGAGTAGGGATCTGAATCCAGGTCACATGGATCCTGGTCCAACATAATAACCCACCACACTGCACTAACCACATGGGCTATTTAGAGTTCTTTGGAAATTTGGGGAGACCCACTGCTATGGTCTGAGTAAGTGGGGCAATTAATGCCCCAGCTGTATTAAGGCCCATTATACTTTGATTCTTCTGGGAGCTCATTTGAATGAAAAGTGGGCTTATCTTCTGCTCCAAACTATCCTTTAAGCAAATCCTTATGTATCATGAGAAAAGCTGAGGCTACATTTTCAATACTAGCATATTTAGTTGGGCTTATCTTCTGCTCCAAACTATCCTGTAAGCAAATCCTTATAAAATGATGTTGCTATGTCTCATGAGAAAAGCTGAGGCTATATTTTCAATACTAGCATATTTAATATCCTAGATGTCTGAATGAAGAACCAACAATGCAAATTCTTGCTGGGATAATCACATCTCTGAATGCTCCCTGGTGTCAACAACACCACAGAAAATTACGATGCCAGACATTTGGAACCCTTCTAGATAGGCTAGCTTTCTAATGCAACGCGTTTTCATGGGTCATTCAGCTATGTGAGACTTCACCTGCAGTCTGAAGTGGTGTATTTCAGGAAGGGCTATAGTACAATATTTCTAGAAACATAAACTGGTGTTCAGGCAAACTATTTGCAGTGTGCCCTCCTTTAGTGTATGGACACTTGAACTGTCAGTCAGAAGACGCTGGCTGGGTTGACTGGCTGCTTTGTGCAGTCCCGCCCAGTGTTTCAAGGTCTTTTGCATATGAAAGCTGATTGGACTTCACTGCATTCCACACCTCAAACTCACCCCCCTCCCCGCAAGGCAGTTGGAATGTCAGTTGCATATGGAACCTTCAAGGTCTTTTGCATATGGAAGCTGATTGGACTTCACTGCATTCCACACCTCAAACTCACCCCCCTCCCCGCAAGGCAGTTGGAATGTCAGTTGCATATGGAACCTTCAAGGTCTTTTGCATATGGAAGCTGATTGGACTTCACTCCATTCCACACCTCATACTCCCCCCCCCGCCCCCGCAAGGCAGTTGGAATGTCTGGTGGTGTGTAGGTCCCAGGATCATGTTTTAAAAGCTGCGTGGGGAGATGGGGACCTCAGACAGGTTACAGTGCCATAGACTCCACCCTCCAACCCAGCTTTTTGCTCCTGGGGAACTATTGTTGCCAATCTTGGCCCAGCACCCATCAAACCATTCTCTTCAACCCCCTGCTGTGCAGCACACTTTCCCCTAGGGTTGCCAAACTCCAGGTGGGACCTGGAGATCTCCCACTGCTACAATTGATTTCCAGATGACAGAGATCAGTTTCCCCTGGAGAAAATGGCTGCTTTGGAGGGTAGACCCTATGACATTATACCTGCTGAGTCCTTCCGCCCCCCCACCCCGCCCAATGCTGCCCACTACAGAATCCACCCCCCAAAACTCCAGGTATTTCCCTCCTTAGAGCTGGCAACCCTACATTCCCCTCAGTGCCTGTTGGTAGGCAACTAAGCTTGGTCCTGTCACCTACTTTGGCCTTTGGGAGAAAACACATTGGGGCCAATCCTGATAGGGTTGCCAACTCCAGAAGGGAAATTCCTGGAGACTTGAGGGATGGAGCCTGAAGAGGGTGAGGTTTGAGGAGGGGTGGGACCTCAGACAGGTACACTGCCATAGACTCCACCCTCCAAACCAGTCAGTCTCACATAGGGAACCATTGTTGCCAATCTCCAGGTGAGGGCTGGAGAGCACTCAGTATTACAACTGCTCTGCAGAAGGGAGGGCAGAAGTCAGCTGAAGTCAAAGGGGCAGATAATGGTAGGTTGGTGGCTAGCTGGGAAGGAGATGGGGTTGCCAACTACATGCTGACAAATTCCTGGGGATTTGAGGGGTGGAGCCTGGAGAGGGTGGGGTTTGCAGAGGGGTGGGACCTCAGACAGGTAGAATGCCATAGACTCCACCCTCCAAACCAGCCATTTTGTCCTGGGTAACAATTGTTGCCAATCTCCAGGTGAGGGCTACAGATTACTCACAATTACAACTGCTCTTCAGGTAGCAGAGATCAGTTCCTCTGGAGAAAACAGTGGACTCTGTCATTATACCCTGCTGAGGTCACCACAGCAAATTGACACTGTTTGCCCAAAGCCAGAGCACTGCCCCAGAGCCTCTTTCTAGATCCCGTTGTATTGCTTTCACAACGGGCTTTACTGCTAGTAGTACAATATTTCTAGAAACATAAACTGGTGTTCAGGCAAACTATTTGCAGTGTAAGAGATGTCAAAAGTATACTTCTATTTTTCTTGCCTGTGCCATTTAAGATGTACCAACGTAAGAGCTGCTCGCTTTAATTGTTTAACTACAACAGTTTTCAACATTTGCTTTTTACAATTCTGCCTGCAGTGATGCAAATTAGCCAAGGTCTATATCAATGGATCGATGCCAGTTTAAACTGAACAAAGATCTAAACCAAAAACTTAAGTAGAATCATTCATCATTGAGAGAGATGGATTTTGTTCCATTTCATATGCATTGCACACTCTTACTCCTTTTAAAAAGAAAGGTTAATTTTACAGTCAGTGAGACTGTAAAAAAAGGCATCGCTGGTTCTCTTCAGCCCTAGAGTTCTACATCAGGCAATGGAAAGGCCATTGGAAACTATCAAAAACATGACAGAACACTTTTAGAATGTTTGTAGCACTTGACATACATTAATTCCTTGTGATGTTTACAACAACAATCCTGCATGGCAGATAATATTATCTTTTAGTAGATGCAAAGTTGAGGTTGAGATGATGTGTACTACCTAAGGCTGCCTAGAGAGTGCCCACCAGAGATACGATTTGAACCAGGGACCACCAGATTGGTAGCTCAGCAACAACCACCATACTACAGTAGCTGTCATGGTATATTAATACATGCAAGCCTGTGAGAATTACTGTTCTGAACTGGTACATTTTGTCAATTGAGACAAATTCACCTCCTGCTAGGTTCCTTTCCCCTGTTTTCTTTCTCATTATACATTACAATATTGGGGTGCCCAGCCAATCCCTTTCTGTTGCTTAGACAGAGGTTCTGAGAGATGAGTTTTTAGGACTAATGAACAAATTAAAAATTAGCAGCTCTCTGAGTTTGGATCGTATACACCACTTGGTTGGTTGGTTGGTTGGTTTTGCCACCAAGTCACAGCTACCTTATGGCAACCCCATGGGGTTTTCAAGGCAAGAGTTGTTCAGAGATGGTTTGTCATTGCCTGCCTCTGCATAGCAACCCTGCTTAGCTTCTGAGATCTGATGACATTAGGCTACCCACGGCAGGGCAAAAGTTCTTAAGGAATTCAAATGTGCAATTGCTGCTCTTCTAACCAGTTCATGTAACTTGTTGCCAAAATCGGCTTCCCTAACAAAGGACTAGAAAGTGATAAATGTGGCATCACTTTAAACACATTGGGGAAAGTTAGCATAAATGATCAAATGAATAAATCAGTCTCACTGTTCCTGGCCCTTTATGTACTGCTCAGCTCTATAAGAACCTCCTTCAGGACATCTTCCTCCCTGCTCAGTTTGGTGATTTCAGGCACAGCCTTCTTCTTCCTTAACAGGTACAAGGTGGAAAGGGGTCGCTTTGCCATTAGATAGAGTGGAGCATGTGACTCCCTCATGCTCCCTGGGCAATAGGGAAGTGTTGCTAAGCAACTCTTTAAGGTGGCCACATAAATTCCAAAGCAGAAGTGGTGGCCCATCTGTGGATCTGGCATCTAGATAGTGGAGGATTTAATGTGTTGCCTTAAAGGGAAATAGAGGTGCTTGTTCCCACATATCCTGTACAGCTGAATGGTAGGTTCTTGACTGGGTCTTGTTAACCCCAATTAATTAGGTCATAGCTATCATGTTCAGTGTGGGTTGAGTGGAAGGATGAGCATAAGTTGAGGGGTCATAGTGGTGAAAGAAGGTTTATCCCACCTATCTTAGCTTACCAGCTCAAATTGATCTTGGATAAAGTGCTCCTTTGGACCCTAATGGCCTCATTGATCTCCTCCTAAAGTCTCACCTGGCTGTAGGGGGGCTCACTTGACACTTCATTGATGTGTGGGGCAGTGATAAGCAATGACCAGTTTTAAGGACTAACCTGATCTGTAGCAGTCCCCTATGCCACGTCCTCATATTCAACATGCCAGCAAGAAAACCTGCATTAAAGTGGGGTTGGAGCCCAGTCAGTTAACCATTATTCCATTGCAAGTATGTTAATAAAGATTTCATATGTATGGGCTTATGCCCCTGTGTAAGCCGCCCTGAGCCCGTTCACGGGGAGGGCGGGGTAAAATGCAAATAAATAAATAAATAAAATATTTTCTGCATTATATGTTTTCATTCCAGGGTGCCAGGGCAATATCTAAACAAATACCACCCATTAAACAGGGTGCTTTTGAAAACAGAGATAATTCTTCAACTATAATTGTCTGCAGCTCCAGTCCAGGGGAAAAAA